TGGATATTCACTGTCAATCTTCTTTTCGCGTGTTTCTGTTTTTCCCTATGAGGTCAAGAGAAAATGTTTACCATATCTGAGAAAACATATGAATAGAGCAAATTTTACAAAAATACAACTGCAAAAAAATGTATCCCGCGAACTTTTGTAAAACCGAGATAAAACTTGAGTATACACATTGTCATTGTATATATAGCCTATGAAATAAAACGTTTTACAATTCCTGTTATCGTTTCCGTTACGACAAATTTTTAGACATTTTTGTTATATAATGTACGATACATATTGCAAAATTTATCTCAGTGTTTAAATGTGTCGTTTTGTTTTGTTATATATACATACCGCGCCCTACTGATAAATCATGGATGTTTCCTTCTAACACCCGACATCTCTCTTCTATTTCTGTTTTCTCCTGCAGTAGTTTCTCATTGACCTCGCCAAGGTGTCTAATTTCGTGAATTAAAGTCTTTTTATCTTCCTTAAGCTTTTTTACTTCATTTGCAAATTTTGTGTTGTCTATTTCAAGACGTTTCTTCTGTCTGTCGTGGATGCTGTCTGAGCGTCTAGAGAGCAATTGCAGCTCTGACACTTTACACTTCAACTTCTCTATTTCTGTTTGATGCGTGCAACCTTGGCCAAAACACAACGAAGCAGATCTCGTTCTGATTGGTTCTTCTCCCTGTTCCACGCGAGATTTCAGGTGCTGGCTTCTGGCTTCGGCAAGCTGATACAATAGCATGTCCTTTTCATCAGTGAGCGATTTCACTAATTCAGTCTGTAGCTGGACACTCTCGTAGAGTGCTTCCACCTGGCCTGTGATCAGACTCTGAAGGAAACAACAAGTGTTCAACTTTCTTGTAATAAAAGTCTAAAAAGCACAGAAGTTCTCTCGGTGTTTTCATTAGATAGGGAATCCTTTTTCCGGTTTCACTCACAATGGCCGTCGTGAATTTCTTAAAATGATTAGAAGGTTCAATATATCTGTATCATATATAACAAGAAGCATATATCTGCTGTCTGGAAGTCTTGCTTTCCCAATACCCCTGCCCGGGAGACATCCTACGGACAAAGTTTCGATACGGAGAGTCTGAGAAAAGCGAGAAAAGTTCGTGGAGGCCATTTAAAATAAAACCGGAAGTAGGAATTTTTTAGACGGGCTTCAGATCATAAATTGATCCGGGACTCAAAAGTACCTGTGTACCAAACTTCAGGCTTGTATTATAAAGTACTGTTCATGATATTCATATTATCCATATTCACTGTAATATAACATTTCTTTACAAAGTTTTCAACACATGTATATAGTTGCAATTGTAAAATTGAGATTCTTCCGCTAATTTTCTGCAAATCTTCACTAGCTGGTATTTAAAAATATGAAACAAAATGATTATTTCTTTTGCATTTAAGTAACCGTCAATATGATGCATATATATGTATTACCAAATTTTACTGTCCCTCTTTTCTTAGCTTGGAAAACTTTAAGGTCAAATTTGAATTCAAACACAAACAAAACACTCCTTTCCAGGGTTCAAAATTATTCTCGTCAAACAAATGACACGACAACATACATCTTAATAAAAATTGTTTAAGAAGTCAAAATGTAAATTGGCGTTAGATGTAATATGCCATGGCAGTTTTGTATAACTGTGATCGTGTATATTCACCTGCGTTTGTGTGACCCTGTCTAAGCAGGATGGATTAGTTTTGCGGTCTACCACAGAATCCATACTTCCCATCTTGTGCTCAGCCCTCATGACTCCGAACATTGAGGCAATCTAAAGTAAAGGCAAAACACGGTAACCTGTCGGTTTAGAATTAATACTGAGACAACATCACCAAAGAACTTGCATACTTAACAACTAAAGAAATACGATTTAATAATATATCTTACTTTGATATGTCACCTCGTCATTAACATTGATATTTTCATTTATTCTTATAAGGATTGAACGGCAATTTATTTTTAAATTTCATACCTGCATGAACATTAAAAAAATGCCGTTCAATCCTTATATTTACATTTTAATTTATTAACTTAATGACCTTAACAGATATTCCATAATATTTCCAATGTTAAAGTGTTTATATGTCCTGGAACAGCCTAGCGTCATCAAAATGTTTGCTTCTAGCGGTTGTCTCATGTTATTCAAAGCGGTAGGAGAAGCTCCGAAATGACGCTGATCCAAATGCGTCCATAGCCATATGAACGCATTTTTTCTGAATGTAAATATTTATTTGTTACTGAAAATATGACAAAAGTTGACAAAAGAACAGTAAAGAAAATATGAATATATTATAGCTAATGTGTAGTTGTCCTAGTCCAACATAAACCATGAGAACGTGATATGAATACAGAACCAAGTTGCCAAATGTGTCATTAGTTTACTGGGATGACTAGGTAAATGCTCAATTTATTGAACAATAACTTGTTTAAGGGTAAGGGAACCAAAACTTCAATTATATCATTATAACTGTCGCTATTGTGAAATATTTGTTAAAAGTCATTTAAAAAACAGTATTCAATAAAAAAAAAAAAAATGAATATTTTATACAACAATAGTTGTTTGAAATTCGAAAGTTTTAAATTAGAAATAAAGAAAGAAAAAAGTAGGGATCGATCAAGTTTCGAACCTTAACACTGCTAAGCATTCATTTTACCAATGTTTTATATTGGAATTTTAAATGAACAACACGAAATCAAAAGTCCAGTTCATGGGCCACAAAATATATAACAGGGGAAGTTACTTTTATACAAACTCACTTTTAGTTGCTTTTATATATAGGGGAGATATTACTTCAAGTTAAAAAATGATTTATTTATTAAAACTCTTCGCGATTATACCTGATGTAGTCGCACCTGTTACATAAATATATATAGTCCTATTAAATGCATAACTATTGTTGATACCTTTAATATAGCCCGAAAGGAATTGATGCTGGTTCGTCATCCAAAGCAATGCATGCTATAGGCCAAGCACATATTTTGTTAATAGAAACATTACTTATGCCTAAGGTTATTTCACTCTCCTAACGTCTGTTCCTAAAGTTCATTGAACAGCAAAGTTGGTGCTGTAAGAATCAGATCCATGACGTCACAATAATGTTCATATGATTTTGCCATCATATACAGCATGTGTGGGATTGCAATCCCTATATATATTAATCGGAAGACGCAGAGCAAATGTTTTAATTGTCTGCATAAAGTGGAGAAAGTTTGTTAATTACTTTATGGTCCTCATTTTGGATGACAGTATTCATCAATTTTCTTCCTTTTTAGCAAGTTCACCTATCGTGAAAATATTATTTAATGATGTGTCAATAATGTTTTATAATTATGAGGCGTCATACACCTAATACCTATACATGCATATATCTACCTGTATACATCACTTAATGGCTCATCAAAGGAAAACCCTATGCTGTTGATTGCCTCGCGATGAGGGCGTGTTTACTCTATTGCTGATTTTTATCCACTATCAAATCCATAGGTCAACGAGTTGACCTCACACTGTGTATCTTAATTTAGAGAGGTCATATTTTGCTGAACATATACTTTATCTTATTTGGGGGAATTTATTTCCGATGAAAATCTTAGGTCATGCTTGAAAAGGAATTCACCATTTCCTTAAATGTGTTCATGACTATCATATAAAATGATAAAACAAAAGCTGTCTACATAGATATTGTATCTTTCTGCATATAAGTTGGGCACTGCACAAACTCGACATGTACGCCATATGTAAATTTTCGGACAAGCATACACTAGTAAGGGTTCTTTACTGTAGACATTTGTTCTACCTGGACCTTATCGTATGCTCTAAACCCATGACTTCCAACTTTAATCCTTAATTACTGATGAATTTCATTTTAGATAAGTCAATTCCTGTGTTTTGGTCATACTTCGTCAGTATTTAAATTCAAGAAAACATTTTTGTTTTATTTGTTATGACTTAATTTTTATTTTATTTTTAAAGTTTTTACTCGACTTAAAATATTTTGCATTCTTCCTGCCCAATAATTTTCATGCTTATGAAGGAAGCTTACATGTAACAACCATGCAGTTTTGTTTTATGTTAGGATATCTAAAATGAAAGCATCATCTACAATATTTCATACTTAATGTATGAAACAACTTATCGAGTTGCAAAGCCTGCGTCAAATTTCAAATTTCGAATTCCTTATCCTGATAAACATTTCGTCTAGTACAACGCGCAATTAGGATTGAATGTTTGAATAGGATCAATGTTCGTCTCCGTTCGGTCGGTTAGTTTAAAGACATGTCTTTTGGTTACTCTTTAATAAACCCATTTCATTGATAAATTGTATGAATGATGAGGTGTTTTAATCTACTCGTAGCCTTATTAATTATGATGATAGTAGTAAGTGATTAAAACATCGTTATTATTAACATTTCGTGTTGCGAAATAAAACATGGACCTTGATTTTGCTCGCTATTTTAGAATAAGAACATATACAATCTACGGAGATTTTTTTCATGATCTCCATTGCAATAAATCAAATAAATAAGACCTATGTTATCTAAATGAAATATGTGTTAATTTATTCAATGATATTTCCTCATCATCCCGGCTGTTTTGATCATTTCAAAATCATTTTTTTTTTTATATCATCTATGTTAGCAATCATACTGAAGTCGGCATTTGTATGTAAACAATGACAAATACACCTCCATTTTCCCAATAATTTCTAAACCTACCATCTTCGGAATTCGTGAGTCTCCAACTTTCACCATTCACGATTCTTCCTAAGGACCACAATGTATGTGGATGCGGTACAAAAATAAGGCTAACTCGTAATGATGGCATGTATTATATGTAAGACGCAGTTAAAAGCAAACCCTTATGCCAAGTCTTGGTGACTCAATAGCCAGCTGTCACACGAGATTGGAGACGATAGCGTTTAAGTGTAGCCGTGTAGACTAATGTAATATTTCCAGTGTTTTCTACATGAACACCATAAAAGATTGTCTGTTACAGCGATATAATTCCGGGAAAAGAGTTTTAACAGAACATTGGTAAGTATTTTTAAATTAAGCTGGTGATTTTTTTTTTTTAATGATCCATCTCTTGGAAACAGTTTTCAGGAATATTTGAATATATTAATTCCTGTACATTATCATCATAAAAAAAGTCCGGTCTGTATCCTCTAAGTAATGTACGGAAAGGTTATAAGTAAAAGTTGTTCATGAAAAAGCATATGATATATTTCTAAGTTAAAATTTTAAACATTGATATAAACGTGCATGTATTTTATACTAGATTCAATATTATATAAAATATGTAATTATAATAAATCTCAAGGAATGCTCCTATCATTAACACAAGTAACATTTTAATTAATTATATAGTTACAACTTCACGATTGTTTTAGCATTGTTTTCTCGAGATAGCTTTTCAACTTTAATTGTTCGTGTTATCCCGTGTCACAAACACACTGATATCCAAAAGTTTTCAGTGAAAATATTTATACAAGTCGTAATAACAATACAAGTTTATAAATGCTTAATTAACCCGAATGCCGCAATTTTTTATGTTTGTTTCGGGTAATTTGTGTTTTTCGTGAAGATATTTTTTATGTTTGTTTCGGGTTATTTGAATTTTCGTGAAGATATTTTTTATGATGTGTCATGGTTTCCTGAGTTGTTTTTCATGTTGTTGTCTTTTCGTATTTTTGTATAGATCCTTTAATTCTGATGTGATCCTTTTCTGTTGATACCATGGTTTAGCTTTTTCTAGTTTACCTACGCAACCTTCTGCAATAGGCACGTTAACTCATTCACCCCTGCAACTTTCATTATGAACTATTCCATCCATTGAATTGGAAGAGTTCAAATGTGTCTTCATGGGTGAAAGAGTTAGTGATAGAAATATTTAGTACATTAGTAGTCTTCTTACACTGTTGTTTAATGAGATGAGTAGCTTGCTGGTATATGTAGATCTGATGTTAACAAATCACAAAAAAACACCTTAATTAGGTTTTTCACTTCTAGCAAACCTCCCACACCATCGGTAACGTCAGCAAACTTGACAGTCGACATGGGCACCAGTTTGACGGATCAGTTTAGAGAGCAACTGCACAGGTGGATTGACGCTAACCAACGGAAACGCTTCACTCTATTATTTAAAGTAAGATACACATTACACATTTAAAGATTTCAACGTAAAAAGGTTCCGCCATCAAAGTGTGTTTTTTTTTTTACATTTTTTTGTTAGTTTGATATAGTTGAATTTTTCTTTCTTCGAACATGCGTTAAAACAATTAGTTCGTTTTCCGTTGAGACATTATAAGTTATTGTTCTTATTATTGTTCCGTTCATGTAAACATACTTATATTGGCACAGTTTAGATTAAGGAAAACGTACTAAACATTAGGTATTAGTACAATCATAAATAAGTGCCTCAACACATCCGCGAAAACTTTAGTATCGAAAATCTCTATACTGTGCATTGGTGTTCCACTCATTGACAGATGAAAACCGTGACCCTAAACTGTAATTCCTCGGCAGCGAAATATTTCTGTGAAGTTGTATCGCGTCAAGGTATATACATGTACAAACCTGTTAACGATTTAGCAAGTAATATTTGAAGTCACATGACCGTCACGTGATATTGCTTACAACTACGTAGTGAAAGTTTTAAAGATCTTTTTGAACTAATGATCTTCTTGTTATGTCCATGTGTATGTTTTATATTGCTTTGCTGAAAAACATTTATTATCTTTTAAAATTTTAGATGTGGCGTATTGAACTTGAATTATATTTGCATATAGACAGCGAATTTTATATCTTTTACTTGAAGCTGGTTACATTCCCACTTCTTATTCCTGTGGCGCTAACCAATCGTTAATTAGCGCTGTATTAATTTAATCACTAAAATATGTACGTTCACACCATCTCGTTCCTGTATCTGTATTATGTGTCGATTTTTTACGAAACATAATTGTTGTAAACTAGTCGTTAACGTTTGTTGACACATTTATTTTTATATAAGCCTGTTAAATACCCAATCAGGTTCGCTGAAACATTTATATCTATCCAAGCCTGTTAAATACCCAATCAGGTTCGCTGAAACGTTGATTTCTATCCGCTCAGGCTTCCCAAGATGGCTGTGCTGCCCAAACGTTCCACACTCTCTGTAACAACAAGGGACCTACAATTACTATCCTGTACAACACGAACGGCTCGGTGTACGGGGGTTATACCTCCACTAGTTGGCACTCAAATAACACCTACTCAGCAGACGACAAAGCGTTTCTGTTCAGGCTCAGACACAATGGCAATTGTCAGCCACAAAAGTTCTGCAAAATCCAGATGGCTGACACTGCTATTTACGGCCACTCTAACTATGGACCGACGTTTGGAGGAAGCAATGGCCATGATCTAAAAACATTTACCAGTATTGTCAACAAGAACGGAACTTTCTTTCCGCTGAATGGCAGCACAAGTCTTGGTAGTTACTACGACATGCAAGGCCAGAATTATAACACCGTAATGAATGGACACATGCAGGTGTTGGATTTGGAGGTCTACTGTGTTGAAGGTATTATTTTACAACTAATTGTAGTGATAAATAGTCGCCATATTTTTTCCCGTTGGGAAAAGTCTTTTTTTCTGTTTTGGTATGGATTTCGACGTGTTTGACTTAGTGCACCAGTGTGCCCTGTGGTTACTACCCTTGTTCACTTTTTGATAACCCGACATTACTTTGAACTAGATTTACATGGTGGGTAAAGCTGATGACGAAGACGCTTATCTTACGTAAAAACCTGGTTTTATTCTTGATGCATTTTTCCATGGTTTTCGTTTAGTTGTTTCCATTCGAATTTGAGTTCTTGTTACTGTTTTGGATACATTTTGGGAATTATTTTCCTGCTTCATCACGTTTTAACACGTTCTTGTTAGATGTTGATATCGAGAAAACAATTATCATTAATAAAGGTAAGTACTTTTCCTGTTTGCTTATTCGTTTCGTTTCTTAAACCTGTGTTTTGCAATTGTTATTGATATTAACATTTACTAGCATGACCTTGCTGGTTAATTATCATCAGAACAAATTAAAACCTTTCCACGTGACAATAAACTAACAATATTTTTTGCTGCTTTAGAGATGAAGATGCTGCAGCGGCCCTGGGTTCGGAATGTAGAATGGCATCCTAGAGTATGTATAGCTTATTTTAATATACGAAGTCTTTTGGGTTTGGTAACAAATCTTCTACTACCATCTTCTTACATCTTGCACGTTGTCTATATTTCTTAAGTTTTTATCGATGTATTCTTTTTTAAAAGAACAATGCAGCAGAGTTTTTTGTGAAAGGTTTCATATATATATGTAAAGGAAATCAAATGAATATATATTTATATACATGTATCAATATATATATCTTGTAAATCAGTTGCAAATGATGAACGGTTGAATCGAAATAATGATTTATTATCCATGAAAAGAAGTCTTCCGGAACATTTTACAAAAGTAGTCGATATGTATAAGGTGCCACTATATGACTTTACATCACTTTTCCCTAGTTCATGAAGGAGCTTAAAGAGTCGATAGAGACATATAAACCCCTACCAGGCCTAGGTCTACAGCAAACACGGATACTGATGGTGGGACAGGTCGGGTCAGGCAAATCCAGCTTCTTTAATACAATCAACTCAATCTTCCGGGGTCACATAAGCGGTCAAGCCAACGCCGGAAGTGCTGAACACAGCCTCACCACAATGGCGCGTAAATTGTTCATTGTAATACAATAACGTTCCTTATACTGGTATCATGTGTCGAGGGATTGTTATCATTATTATCTCATTATTACAATATTTTGTGAATATAGCAAAGAATAATTAAGAAAATAAGGAACAGGAAACGTAGAACTACAATGTCAAAGAGCAAAGTGGTACAAGAAATGGAGAGCATTGTATTAAGGTTAAATTGTATGCTTTTTGGTCTTTAAAAGATGTCATCATGATCGGTCTAGATTAGTTACTGAATATTGTTTTTGTGGTTTACAGTATCGGATGTATCAAGTCCGAGACGGATACGCAGGAAAACCACTAAACTTCCGGTTATGTGACACGCGTGGTTTGGAAGAGGACCAGGGATTGGATGATCATGAAATATCTTATCTTTTGGATGGTCATGTGCCAGACAGATTTCAGGTGTGATATCGAATATATATGAATAGATTTTGAAGCCTTAATATTCTTTTTCTTTAACGTATGTAATGAATACTGTTGCAAAATTATCTTTTATTCCTAATGGAAAAATAATATCAGAAACTTTTTGTTCGTTGCAGTTTAACCCAGCCGTATCTTTGTCGCCAGAGGTCATGGGATTCGTGAAGGGCCCGACACTAGGAGACCGTATCCACTGTGTGGCGTTTGTCGTAGATAGTAGCACAGTTGACGTCATTTCCGAGAAAGTTCTGGAGAGAATCAAGAACATGCAAACCAAGATGAACCAGAGGTGTAAGCATTTTACAGACTATGACATTACACATTAAGGATACTCTTGATCTCTACTATCAGAAAACGCTTTTAAAAGTTTTTCTAATTGACAGTTTTTAAAAATTGTTATTCATAAAAATACATCGAGGTGATTAATGCTAATTAAACCCAATTATCCGATTAAGATAACTCTTACACAAATTATGTAACAGTAAATGACTAGACCAAATTACTTAGACACAAAACACAGTATGCAATCATGTCAGTCTGTTTCGTCATAAAGACTTGTTAGGTCGACTTTGTTTTGATACACCGAACTTCTATAATTATTATTATAGTTATAAACTTTCTTTTGACGTGTTTTCTTCCACAGCCATTCCACAAGTGGTATTGCTGACCAAGATTGACCGTATTTGTGAATTGGTGACTGACGAAATCGGTGACGTGTTCGTCAGCCCATCAGTCAAGGAGTGTGTGGATAGGGTTGCCATGGCGATGGGTGTGCCGAGATCGCACATACTTCCAGTCAAAAACTATGAGTGTGAGGTCGAACTCGACCAGAATGTAAACATCTTGTCCCTCTTGTGTCTCCGACAACTTCTTCATTTCTCCGACGACTACCTTTATAACCAGCTCGATCAAATCGAGGCTGAGAAATCTTCTCAAACACAAATGAAAGAATGACTTTTAACTAGACGTTGGTAAAATCATTGAGACCGACCAGAAATGCTGTTCATATGTCCTATGAAAATATCATTGGAGTTTATTAATATTAAAGTATCCATTCCGAAACGTTGGTAAAAAGAACAAAAACAAAACTGTATTGGTGACATTCTCGCCGCAAAGAAATCTTGTTTAATATTAATAAAGATATTGTACGCATGAGATTTGTTAACAAGGATGATTTTTTGTAATATTTACCGAGTTTTATCTTTATCATCTCGAATAGCCGGGAACATTTGCGTTCGAGTTACCTCGGTCATATTTCCTTTTTTCGGAGTCTCTCTATAAAACAAGCAAGAGACACCGTACCCAGGATTCGAGTTACTGAAGCAGACGACAGCAATGGCGTATAAGCCTGATCATTTTTGACTGATGTATAACTTTTCTATAACAGTATAAATATGTATTGCCTCGTGGTGGGGAAACGTGATTCTTCAATTCTGTGTTGCTATGACACCTTGAAGCAATTAAAGTCAGCTATAACAAAGGAGCAATGCAAGGCAGACCAGACGCAGATAAATATCAGCATAATTGCATGAATTTCCAACAAATTCAAAAATAACCTAATCGACGGCACAATCGGCCATCGACATTTGATAGCTGACAGTTTACGAAAAGTTATATATCCTTCAACGTGTCTGATGGAGGAAATGCCATCCCAAGATAGCCCCCAATGCATCTCACTGGCTTTAGTCGGTAACTGAGTAAATTACAAAAGTATTACTTCGAGAACCTTGGAATTGCTTAGCTATTTGGATTCGACATAGATTTACATACATGTGGCTGATGGCCATGGTGAAGTACAAGCCGCTTACTGCTCTGGTTTTCATTCTCTTTTTTTTTCTCCATTTTCTAGGGTAAAAAAATAAAATAAAAACAATATCATGCCCCAAGCACGATTCTAGGGGGAGGGAACTATTGTATGTTACTGTATCGGTGGGTTGGTTGGTTGACGGGTTTTTCGCCTACATGATTCCACCCATGTGGGTTTCATCTCACTGACGGAAGACGGTGTTCTGTCGGCGCGAGGGAAGTTGCCTTCCCTCAAGTGGTGGGGAGTAGTCGCCTATACTATATCCCATCCTTATATTTTAATGAAATGTTTTGGGAGACGACTCCTTGGTCCGAAATGGTTGGTAGGTGTGTCGCGCCAGTCGCTGCCACTTTGTCTGTTGTTTCTTACTAGGTTTTTTTGTCAAAACGGCCAAGAAGGCTTATAATAATTTATATAAAATAAAAAAAATAAAAAAAATTTGTATATTTTAAATGTGTACTTATTGTATATATTCATGTTCTTATAGGGAAGTATTTATATTATTTTATGTACCCGGGTCTCAAACTATCGGTTATGCCCGACAGTAGAGAAACGTATCTGTTTCATCTGACTGTATCGCCAGATGCAACTTATGTAGACACTCTGCATAATTATTGATTTTTTATTGGTTCCCTTATATATGGAACACTAAAGACATCAACAGTGATCAACTGTTTCAATAAAACCCCTAGGGACCTTACCTTCCTATTTTATCTTCCCTTACTTTTCGGTGATGTCTAGATAGCTCTAGTTAACCCGATTTTAGGTGATAGGGTGTTAAGCTATCTTATCAAATTGACTTGAGTGCGTAGGCGCTTTAAAAGGGTTTCGTGAAGTGTCCCTTCCATCAATGGAAACCGACCTCATATAATGTTAGCCGAAGACACCAAAACCAACAAACAACCAACCTATACTCTTAATGGTGGTGTTTGTCCTGCTGTAGGATTATGGCAGAGCTATTTATAGTTTCTACTTTCGGCTGCTGTCTATTTCTCGACAATGGATGATTCACCAGGACTAATGTAATAATAATTTTACTCCCCCCCCCCCCTCCCCTCACCCTCCTTACATATATATATGCCATCCTCACACAGTTAACACGTAAAGGCTTTACGAAATGTAAATACAACGGATGATCCGACTTCCACGTTCAACTGTATTCCAAGACGATTCATTCGACGTTTAATTCCGAAACAACTATAAGCTGTACGTCCCAGTTATACTCATGTGTTCCATTTTAATAATAATAAAAATTCGAGGTTCTTATATACCGCTTTATCACAAACTAGTTCGTAGGTCGTCTCAAAGCGGTTCACAATTTATTATCCATGGTTATAGGACCTTTGCAACCAGCCAATATCTTTCTCAACTCCATGGGGAGCATACAGTCGATGCTGCCATTTCGGCGCTCACAGCTAGCATTCTACGATTCTAGCACTTCCCAACCACGTACTCATTTACAGCTGAGTAGACTGGAACAAGCGGAATAAAGTATCTTGCTCAAAGATAAAACACAGTGCCGTGCCGTGACTCGAACCCGCAACCCTTCGGTCACGATCCGGCGTCCTACCACTGGACTACCGTGCCTCCAACAGGTTTTATCTCTGCTGGGTACAGCTTGTTTTGGAGAGTTTAAGGAAGGGTTTCCCGCTAATTTTCAGTAATATTTCTCTATTGCAAAGTTGTAAAATGGTATGATTACTTTTCCAGTACCAAAGAAACTCTGAAGTTTCAATATTTACTACAAAAAAACATTATTTTAAAGATAAGTGTTGGAATAGGAAAACACACTTTGCCTGTTTCAAATAAAATGTGTCCTTCGAATTATAATCAGCTTTATACTATTGTGGACCTGGCCCACGTAAAGACTAGGAGCCGTTGGATGTGAAAGAAGACCCGTTCGAAATTACAGGAAGGAACCACGTACAACTGGTCCATTTTTAATGCGTTGCAACATCAAGTATACCTGTTAATAACGCTTTCAAGCATCGTAAGTCAAAGAAGCGGGCCTGTCTCAAATGATTCAGCTAATTAGTATATAGCCATGATATGTTTGCTTGAGAAAAAAGTGTCGATCGACTTCTTAAATGCAAAATATTGTATTCCAAACTAAAAACACCACTTGCAGCTGTAGATTTACCCATGTACCAAACCTCCCATTGATTTAAAATACAGGTTCTTGAATAAACAGTTTTTTTTGGAAAAACATGATATTCTTTCAACTTATATTTAGTTTATTATAGGAATAATATATAAGAGGCTAACCCGGAAGGAGATATATTAAATATGGAACACATAACTATGTATTTACCAGAATAAGATTTTGTTTACAAGGGATATTTTTCACCCAAGAATTGTCAACTTTACATGAGCTAACAGACAACATGTCCAGCGTTCATATCTTAATATTGAAAAAAGATAAAGGACACATCCAAGTAGAAAGTTCGCCTTCATTTAAGGCGATAATTGTCCGCTGAAAATAGTAACGTCCTTGAATGATTTTAATGGAGGAAAATATATTTGTAAGTATATAAAACATGACGCAACTCAGTACATCGACTCTTCGTGTGTCTCCTTCGGGTGAATGATCGAAGCAGGGCATCTACCTTGGCTGTTTGGTTGTACCCGCGAGCAAAATCCCGGTAAATCTCGAGTGTTACACGTAACAGCTATCGCACACCGGTGTTAATGGCCACTTATAGAATGTTTCCCCGGCACTTGTGCAGGATTCTTGTACTATTGTTGATGTTCATGTTCATTTTCCTTGCCGCTGTCACCATTTCGTTCTTGTCTCTTCAGAGTGAACATGACGGCAAAAGTCATCGCTGCGACGGACTTGACAATTTACAGACACAGATCAGTGAAATGAATGACGATTTTGAAAGAAATGTGAGAGAGTTTCGGAGAAGCATAGATCGATTTGAAAAGAAAAACAAAGAAACTGAAGAGAATAAGCAACTTTCTTCCAGAAACGGAATCGCTAATAGAAATGGACAACAAAAGGAGATTATTGTTCCCCGTCTGAGGTAAGAAACCGGTGACACAGGTTTATAAACTTTTGCGTGAACTCACTTGTTTTTCCCCTGTTTTAAACAAGATGTTGTTTTAATCATGTACATCGTAAATCTTTGAATTACTTAAATAGTTGATTGGTGACATCATTCTTATCTATCCGTTATTTTTGTACGATTAGGGTTTTCTAAGAAGTGAATATAATAGTTAGAAGTGTTACAAATGCGCTTGATTTCAACCAACATCTCAAATACTACTCTTTTAACAGAGCTGTCGGAAGAAGGCATATTTTAACAAACTTATATCTTAAGATAGACGAAATGTTATATCTTCACATGTGAAGTATCACTGTAAATGTTGTCAAACAGAACGGAATTTTCTCGTCACTGCGTAGATTTTCAGCTTCAAAAACAGAGGAAGCGACGACAGTATACGAGATTGTTTTGGTATGGTATTTATATAACTACACAATTGATATTAGTTTTGTTTGGAAATCTCACCAGACAATAGCAGCAAATGGCAGAATTGCACTGGGTAAGCCATTCAAAATGGCGCTCTGCCTTGGTGTCAATCGTGATGTCATGAAAACTTGGCGTCAAATAGTTTGCTGCTAATTCCAATGTTGTTTTTCTATGCAGCACTATTTGCGTCGTATTTCTTTAAAAATGTAATAATTACAATGTTTTTCACCCATTGAATACTGTATATATATTTCACTCATACGGCAGAGTTTACCGACATATGGCAGAGTTTACCGACATATGGCAGAGTTTACCGACATATGGCAGAGTTTACCGACAAGTTCACTCGTGCTTCGCTCATATTCTGCTACACTCGTGGAAGACATACATGTATGGTTTGCAACGGAGAATCATTCAATATTTTCTATGTATGGTTTTGCTTAAAATAATTGAGTTAAAAAAAGTTGAAAAAAAAGTTATCAGCTCCGTTATTTTAGTTAAAATTTAAAAACTGTGATGAAATGAGTAAATGGAAGATAATTGTTGTGTGTCACTTTTTCAGGGGTTTACCATCCTCAACCTTAAAAAGTAATGAGGACCTTGATGACCTTCTTAAAGACATACTTTCACGTAACCAGGAGTCGTCTAAACATATCACCCAACTAAACAACACAGCCAACGAGTTGACTCCGGTTCGAAGGAGTATTCCGGATACCAGACACAAGGAATGCCTTACCCAAACCTACCCGGATGTATCAACGATGCCAACTGTATCCGTGGTGATCATATTTTGCGATGAAGCACTGCAGCTTATACTTAGGAATATTCACAGCATACTGGACAAGTCACCTCCCCATCTTATCCACGAAATAATTCTGGTTGACGACAAAAGTACTTTAGACTATCTTAAAGATGATCTAGATCTGTACGTCTCGTATCTACCGAATGTCAGGGTAATTCATAACAAAAATCGAGAAGGCCTCGTAAAATCAAGAATGATTGGCGCAAGATCTGCAACTGGTGACGTTATGGTTTTTTTCGATGCTCACATGGAATGTAATGAGCAATGGCTCGAACCGTTATTGTCAATTCTAATGGAAGAACCAACGGCTGTTGTGCAGCCTCGAGTTGATATCATATCAGACGAAACTATTGCGTACTACTCGTTGGATAGTGGCAATGGCGTTCCATTTAGAGGTGGCTTCGGCTGGGATTTACGGTAGGTTTCTAAATTTCGTGTTGCTTTAACGTAGTATTGTATTCAGTCCCCCACATATGCACTCAGGCACGTTAGTTTAAAAACATCGGATATATTGTTCACTTCGAATCACATATGTATGTTTCGTCTGTCAAAAGTTCTTTATAGACCATAGCGAGGCCGATCATACACAACTCCCGAGACATACCGGGCGTCACCTGGACTGCCCTCAGAACACATCATTTTTAAATACATATACACACTATACAATAATAGATATAGACAATAATCATAAATAACATACGAAAATAGAAAGTCAGAGATAAAATGTATTTGATGTTGTCGGTAGTTCCAAATGCATACCGATTCTCCTTTACCGTATAAAAATATATATTGATCACTACATCTAAGCACTCTCAGTATAGATTGTTTTTCATTCGAACGAATTTATCTGGTTCTAAATAAAGAAAATCATTTTCTCAATAAGCCATGTACAAATATAAGGACCAGTTTTTGTTTTCTTTTTATCATGAATAACCGTTTCATGTACATGTAAATACAGTTTTAGAACTGCAATTGCCCTAAGGATCTTTATGACAATTTACAAAAAACAAAAGAGTTATCATCTGAAAAATGTACTAGTCAAATAGGGTGGTCGGGTGGTGCAGTGGATAGCGCACTTGCCTTTCACCAATACGGCCGGGGTTTGATTCCCCGATCGGGCGTGAAAAGGTATGGAGTCACCTACCCGACCACGTGGGGTTTCTCTGGGTACTCCTGTTTCCTCCCACAGTAAGACCCCCGCACGCTAACATCCGGGCCAACAAGAGTGATTAGTATTAATTGTTGTCAAATAAATAAAGTTTAAATATATATTAGTATTTCGATATCATAATGCTCTTCAATTTTTTTTTTATTTATATAGTACATGTACATACAAATTGATAAAACAATCTCAAATAATTAGATAATTTTAAAATAATCAATCTTAGTTCTATGAATGTTGTTTTTTTACCCTTAAGGATCACTGTTGTGCTGTACACTAAACATTAGATAAGTCCACTGTACATTTCCCTACATACGGTAACCTCCCCTTAATGTGCCTGTCGATGTTACTGTGGTTGGACTGATAAAATCGTCCATGTGGTTAAAACAATCGCATTGTGATTAGAAATCCAGGGTTGTAACCCTGTCCCATTGTACCTCTACTCTCAGAAAACTGAACCGCCCCCCCCCCCTTTTTTTTATTGTCGTTTTGTTTACCTCCTGCTTAAGTCGGTTGGGAAGTGCTAGAATTGTTGAATGCTAGCTATGAGCGCCGACATGGCAGCACCGGCTGTATGCTCCACATGCAGTTGATAAAGATATTGACTGGTTGCAAAGGCCCTATAACCATGGATAATAATTTGTGAACCGCTATGAGACGACCTTCGAACTAGTTTGTGAAAAGGCGGTATATAAGAACCTCGAATTATTATAATTTTTATTATTATTATCTCTATAAGGTCATTATTTTATAAATTTCATAAGGTATGTACTTGTTTTCTAAAATGATTTATCGAAACTACAATGTATTGTCATTCTAGGAAAAAGAAGTTTCCAAATCATATGTTTTAAAACTAGTACGGGAATGATGCTGCTAAACTTACGAAAGTCTAACATTTATAATCATTGCACGATTGTTAACAGGTATTCCTGGTTCAAGCTTCCGTTGAAATTCAGACCGAAGAGTCAGGCCGAACACTTCTGGACGCCAGTTCTGGTTGGAAACGCCATCGTGGTGAAAAGAGACCACTTATTTCGGATAGGAGGGTTCGACGAGGACCTCAAAATCTGGGGAGGGGAACATTTCGATTTGTCTTTCAAAAATTGGTTATGTGCTGGACATGTTTACACTGTTCCTTGCTCCAGAGTGGGACATCTGTTTAAGAAGGCGGCTGGGGGATATAGCTTCGAAGGTGACCGAGAGGCAATCATTGTCAAAAATCTTATGAGAGTTGCAGAAATTTGGCTACAAGACTACAAAGATATCTTTTACAAGGTGACAAAAGCAGCGGCATCAAAAATGCCTAGTTTTACTAAAGAAGATATTAAATCGATAGGTAAAAGAATCGACTTGAAACGTACACTAAAATGTAAGCCTTTTAAATGGTACATGGACAATGTTATTCCTGATCAGATTGTTCCGCGCCATGATGCACTACTATTTGGAGAGATCACTAATGTAAAAAGTCAACGATGCTTTGAAGTGAATGAAGATATTGTAGGTTTAACAAGTGAATGTTTTGTACATAGAATATTACCATACAATACGTTCACGTTCACAAACAAAAACCAACTCCTGTTTGAAGACAGATGTGTTTACATTAACGATACCAGCTACAAACTGCGTGTAACCGCTTGTTCGGACACAGCACGTGTACCTAAAGGCAGATGGGAGTTTCCATCAGGAAAAATAGAGGGGATAATTCAGTTTGTTACCAAAAAGGGGGAACATTTGTGTGTAACTACAACGGTATCGGACCCAAAAGGTGACCCCATAGCAATACCGTATTCTATTTCCGGTTCAGACTGTGACGTGTGGTCTTTCATGTATAGATTGGCTAAAATCTAGATTGAAGTAAACTTTATTGTGCATGAAATTTCACAGACCTTGTAACTATCATTATTTTAACAGAAATGATCACTTGAGATAATTTCATGTTTAAGACTCATTATATGGTAATTGGTAGGAAATTCAAGAGATTGAATCATGTAGGTTGAATGGGTTCTGCGAAAGAGAGGCATGTTTTATTTCTATATAAATGGAAACATTATTCAATATCTGGACATAAATATCTGTATTTCAATTCTTCATTTGTTTACTTTTTATTATGGTTCCAACGAGTCTCACGAGATTTACATTCATTTTTTTTAGATCTGTAAAAATGGCAGTTTAAATTACACAAAACACAATAGTATGGCCGATTTGTTTTATCCATAAGTACTATAGGATATCCCTGCTGAGAGAAATAATATTATATATAAAGGGTCTTATATGAGCTAAAATGAAAAGATCGTGACGAGTCTCATCAATTTCATATGAAATGAAAACGAGTGTAGGATCCTTTTTATACCATAATCAAGATTTTTGGCATTTATTCTTGTAAAACGACAATTTTCAATACAACCTTGAAATGTAAAATGTCGCCATTTTGACTCCAATGCATTAGTCTGTGATGTCCTAGGCGTGACGTCACAATTGAAACAATTGAAACTTACAACCAATCACAGGGCTGATAGGTCATGTTACATGGGTTAATACGCCACAAAATATGACATGGGTATATTCACTGGATAACACAGTACACTATGTGATAAAGAGGATTTGTATAAGCTTCATTCATTTGTGTTCGGATTCTGTTTCTAAGCAATAATTTGATGTAAATTGAAATGTAAACTAGTGTATTCAGAAAGAAAGAAATTTTACTACACAAGTGACATTTGTAACACTTTCCAATACAGAGACGAGACCAACTTTAGAGTTTTATCTATTTCAATCATTTTAACATAAACCAACTCTGTAATGTAGGTTTTGAAATTTTGGGTCCTCGATACGAAAGTGGTCAAATTACAATTTAAACGTGTTTATAAAGGACTTGCAACATAATAACACGTACCATAAAGCACATTTATCACATAGCTGACCCATTTTACTATGTCATGATAATACGACCATGTCATAAATACGGTATTACACATGTGTAATGAAACCTGAAGATGCTGCAATTGGTTTAAACCGTGGGAATATGTTCCTACGCCACTGCAGGTACTACTTTTATTTACTATAGACAAATGTTGATATTGTCATTATTATTTTCATTGCATTGTTCGTTATTAAAATAAATAATGATAACTATGATCGGAGTAATTTGGATTTGACGTATATAAAGTCAGCTGATAACACGTACATAATTGCGTTTGAAGGTGGGTTTTTTTCAAAGTTTTTTTTCTTCAAATTATTCTCGTAGGTTTCTCGTAGGTCCGACATCTTTAGAATGACTGCAGCTTGTTTTAATGCCTCGTCGAGTTTACAAAAACTTGGTGATTTTCTGGTGCTTGCATGCACTATGAATATTATGTGATAAATAGAATCTAACATTCGTGTCCATGTCATAATGAATATACTAAGTTCGTTCAATAAATTCAATATGACATGGACACGAATGTAAAATCTTCTAAACATACCGTTAGTCTAGTCAAAACAGCACATGACCGAGAGACGCTCACTGGCATGAACATACGTTCAATTAATTTGAAACATCTTAGTAAAATGCATATGTCCCTCTATGCCTTCAATGTAACTTTATCATGTGTTACCTGGTCGGCTAACTGGATGCTGACACTACTATTAGCTACATTTCATAACAAGTACTGATTCCTGTTTGAGCTGTGCACTATTCCTCATTACATACACACTAAAGACATTAGGACAGGTAGGCCCTTCATGTCCGGGACATCTTGGCCTTGACAAGTGTGTCACATACTGTGGCATAACCTTGAGCTGGTGAAATACAGAAATAGGATCTCTGAGGTGTGTGTGTGTGGCCGTGACAAGTGAGGCCAATTTTGATTAGCCCTTCTGTAAAGCATGGCATTCAGTGTTGAAACTTATGCATATACATACCATTTCAAAGAGAAATATCATCCCGTCTAAGGGCACGGTCGGACCACAGGGGGCACGGTCTAATTTATCAATATGAAACAGAGGTCTCCTTGTTTACTATACACGTTATTATGTATAGTAAAAAGGAGACCTCAGATATAAAATAAAATTGATAAATTGAACCGTGTCCCTAGCCTGTGGTTGGACAAACAGTCAGAGTAAATGCAGCCCACGTCGTAACCAGCGTATTATGACAAGCATTCATGATTTCCAGCCACTGTCGGGACTTTCTGTGGGTTTCCTGTGCCGAATCTAACCCAAATTTAAGTGTTCCCTGAACGAAAATAGAAATCAATATATTATTATTCTTTATGATCCCAAAACAAAAATGTCGAAAACCGCATAAAAATTGGTCAGCCCAATACCGGGATATTGACGAGTAAATTGTGCGATTTTCACCTGTTTTCTACTACAACATGTAAATAGCATAATCGAAACTGACCCTATCGGCTGTGACGTCACAAGTTCAACGACTGTAGCAGCCACCATGGAGGGAATAACAGCCATGACCATACAGTGTCAGATTGCAAATTAATATTTCTATCCAGGTCAACTATTAAAATGCATATTTCTTCTTATTTACACGACATTTTGCAACCAGTGTATATTATTATTGATCTTTAAATGATTCTTAACCAATATCATTGTTCCATAAATACTCGGAATTTATTTTTAAACCTGTCTTTTGAGTAAATTCAAACTCGTCGTCGACTGAACGTCCCGATTGTCGGCTCCCGTACACGTCACCTTGCAAACACTGTACTTTCATATACTAATAGATGCTTTTCTGGAATGGACTTTTAGAATTTTATAACACTCTGATCTATTATCTTTTGCTTCAGTACATCCTAAAAATCGCTTAAAAGTTTTTAATTTGAAAACAACGAACACGTTCTGAGAACTCATGATCACCTTCTACTTGTTTTGGCAGCCGCCATCTTTTAAACAGCTCCAACCTTTTTACAGTGGAATCAGCCATATAAAATTTGACAGAATTTTTAGACAGTTAGCTTAATTGAAACCAAACCGACAACTCTGGATAGGGCAACACGGACTGGTAGCATTGCATGTCCAGTCTCTGAGCACTGATGAGATATTTGTCGAATAAACGAGTTTGAGGGAAATTTAACAGAAGTACTCATAATGCTGTTTATCAAAAGTGTCTTTTTCTTTAAATCAGCTGGAAAAATCAGTTTGCAATCATTTTCTTTACTCTAAAATGAGAACTTATTCCATCATGTCGTCGTTGAACAGCACTACTTCGTGATCAGTTTCTGTGTCGGATTATCATTATTGCAAAGTTATATACTGTGGTACCGCTACGGTCCAAAAATACGGAAATGTATCAGCGAAAACGTTAACAAAATAATATTACTTCAACGTTTGGTGTCTGCTGTTTTTGAATGGCAATAAAATGTATGGCATATTTTAGATATTACCTTATAATGAAATGTTGACGACTGTGTGTCTTCCTATGTTAGGTCGACAATTCAAATAAACAGCAAAATGCCGACAGTTACACATTTACATGAACGCTATTGCCAAATCCTGTTACTACCAGATCAGGAACATCGGCTGTATTCGGCAGTTTCTAACTGCAGATGCATGCAAGATTTTGGTGCATTCACTTGTTACCTCTCGGTTGGATTATGGTAACGCCCTGCTCTGTGGTATATCTGACAAACTAACTAGTCGTCTGCAGAGGGTTCAGAACACTGCAGCACGGCTAGTTACTCGTACTCGAAAGAGAGAGCACATCACACCTGCGCTTTATTCGTTGCACTGGTTACCTGTACGATACAGGTCGCAGTACAAAATTCTGGTATACACATACAAGGCACTGAATGGAACAGCTCCTCAGTACCTACAGGAACTTGTTACCCTGTATCAGCCGTCAAGATCACTGCGGTCGGAGTCAGAATCTTTGTTGTGTGTCCCAAAATCTCGTACTGTGACCTACGGAAACAGATGCTTTGGGAGGGTTTCGGCTACGTTGTGGAATAGCTTACCATCTGCTATTAGGAAGTCGAATACCCTGGCCAAGTTCAAGAGGGACATAAAAACTCACCTCTTCACGTCTGCATTTTAGAATCTTTGCAAAGACGTCATGTAAATACCACCCTTTTATTTGTTCAATTATGTGCACATTGCTTGTTAAATGTATGAAAGTGATTGCAAGCCTTTGTTGTTTGTTTTCACAATTATAACCATTACTATTATCCATATGTTGTAAATCGCCTTAGAGTAATTTTACAAATAATATAGGGCGCTATATAAATGCTATATAATATTATTATTATTATTATTATTTAATTTTATACAATACAGTACCTATGTACATTTATGATGCTAAATTACATCACGGACTTAGATAGATAATCTAATTCCTTGATTATATTTATCTCGAAAATATAGTTGAATTATGATATTCATTTTATTCTCCATATACATGTAATATACACAAGTTTTAACTTCTTGGTGCAATAATGAAAATCATCTCGATCCACTCCCTTAGCCTACTTAGGTGTGAAATGTGTGTACAGGTAAATAACACTAAACACCTGTGTCCACTGCTGACAGCAGGAGGCCCAATATATAAACCTGTGTCCAGGTATGACATCAAAGGGATGTCAGCAGGTGGGCAAGGGGGTATCTGAAGTTAGTATGTAGATTGGTGTAGAATATGTGTTTTCCAATTTTCCATTTAACAACTATGTCCTCAGGTTAGATAACGGAATAAGGATCAATTTCAAGAAAAACATAAATAAATAAAATGCGTAAGTACTGTTAAAGAGTCACATTATATACAAACCACAATCAGTACAACTGCATCACCCGACAGATGCTGGACCATGTTATGCACATTGTATATCTGATCAGGTGGTTCATTGATAAATTACTAATCTTCGTGAGATCTCATTCTTAAATTTGGTGTGTAATTCTCTGGATTGCATAAAGAATATAAACATAACAATTATCCCCTCCCAGTACCTCTACATTTAAGGCAACTATATATACAAGACAACTTGTGTACCAAGTAGTACATAGTTATTCACAACGTTTCAAGTTTTAATTACTGGGGGTAAAAATACACGGATTGCTGCTCATTTTGAGAACA